GGCCACATTTCTACTTCTTGCATAATCAAGATATAGCAATTGTTTTATTGCCGTTACATATGGCTCAGATCATATGCCATAAGCCACCAGGTGGAATTGTAAGTGTTTCAAGTGGCGACTGCATATTTCACGAACTGTGTTGACACTGTCACCGAGCAATATGTCAGCGGAACTGGACATTCTGTTACTAGTATGACTGTGTTACTCTTATGGTTTTCAAATAAATAAGCCATATTTCAGCTACATCTCACTAAATCTATCACCTCTAAGTCGACACTCTCGATTATATTTGGGGCGGTGGGGTAGCCTTGTGGTTAAAGCGTTCGCTCTTCACGCCTAAGACCCGGGTTCGATTCCCCACATGGGTACAATGTGTGAAGCCCATTTCTGGTCCCCGCCGTGATATTGCTGAAATATTGCTAAAAGCGGCGTAAAACCATACTCACTCACTCAATTATATTGGAGAGAGAACATTACATGCTGAAACTTTTATATTTTATCTGTCAGTTTTAACGACAAGCATGGTTCCACAGGCTCCTCCACAGGTGTGACATAGCTTCAGGTAGACTTCGTCACGCCGAAGACCCGCGTTTGATTCCCCACATGTGTACAATGTGTGAAGCTCATTTCATTTTACCGTTGTGTCGAACCTCGAGGTATTGTCGCCCCTTCAAAACCAAAAATATTGATTTTAAAAAATATTTCATGGTTTCTGTTTCAACTTCGGCACAGCGGTTTTTGACTGTATGTCAGTGAGTGAGTTTAGTTTTACGCCGCATTCAGCAATATTCCAGATATATGGCGGCGGCCTGTAAATAATCGAGTCTGGACCAGATAATCCAGTGATCAACAGCATGAGCATCGATCTACACAACTGAGAACTGATGTCATGTGTTAACCAGGTCAGCAGCCTCACCTCTCGATCCCGTTAGTCACCTCTTACCACAAGCATGGGTTGCTGAAGATCAATTCTAACCCGGATCTTCAAGGGTCTGACAGTTTATCAAATACAGAAGATACAGACATGTGGTATTCTAGATATGCTTGCGTTTTATTCTGCATGTAAGAACTAATCTATTTCTGTATTCCATACGCAGAGAAAAGAGGTCTATTTAAACATGTTCATATACTGAGAAAACGTGCATACACACGATCATACACTTTGTTTATATATGAAGATTAACGCAGTTTAATTAAGCGTTCGTGGAGTCAAAATAATATATCACAGCCGAATATCACTTTAGTTTACAACGAACTAGTATTGTATTACACACAGATCAACAACAGCATGTCATATTTCGCGACATTTACAACCACTTGGAGAAGTAATTAATGTACTGTTAAGGTGTGTATATTGCGTAAAATGTCGCTGTTGTACCGTTAGTGTTGATAAGGTGTGAAAAACAGGAGGAATATTTATTACTGACAGACGTAATTATTTTATTGCTGGAAGGGTCGCTTCTCAACTCGTGTCACTTCAGAGTCACGGCCCTGTGAGGAGTAACCTGTGAGAACTGGAATATTCAACTCCTCACATCGCCTGCTTTATTGAATTACATCGTAAACAGACTAGGCGAATCCGATATCGAGGTATGGAAAATACAATCCACATCTCCGTACAGCGAAGTCGCGTGGGAATTCCCCAACAGTTCTTCACAGGCCAGTGAATACGGTTGCGAACCCGCGCCTAGAATTACCACGGCGACTGCACGTCTGCTGCGACCATTTGAGTTCCAGTGATAATGACGAAAGTGCGTTATCGTTCACACCCAGGTCTCGGCATGGCGAGATAATGCGAGATTTCGATTTCAAAACTTTTAATGCACGAACATGACACGGCTCGACTCCTGAACGACGAGTTGGGTCAAATGATATCTCTCGATTCGATGACAGATTAAGGAAAGTAATGTGAAATTGCAAACAATTATCAAAACTCCCAGTGGTTCAAATACGCGTTTAACTGCAACTGACGACAAGATTCGCACCGACTTGAACACTAGTTCTATTCACGCAATGTGAACTTGTGCAAAACACACGTGGCGAGTTAAACGATAGCAGATGCACGATGAAATGAAACTAACACCCGTATTATGATGGCTGAAATGTGTATCATCAAAATAAACATTGATTTCACCACACGTATATAACACCTGAGAGGTCCAATAACTCGGGCAGAAGGTTATCAACGATATGGAAGTGTGTACGTGTTTGTTTTTTAACGCCACAATCAACAATATTCCAGCTATATTATTAGAGGAAGATCTAGGTGGGGGTGGGGTTCGCACCCCAGCCCCCTTTGTCCTGAAAGTTTATTAAATGACCATTGAAACTCTTGTGAAAACGGGTGAACTCTCTCTCTCTCTCTCTCTCTCTCTCTCTCTCTCTCTCTCTCTCTCTCTCTCTCTCTCTCTCTCTCTCTCTCTCTCTCTCTCTCTCTCTCTCTCTCTCTCTCTCTCTCTCTCTCTCTCTCTCGAGTGTGTATCCTCAACCCCCCTTTCTCAAAAGCTGCATCCGCCCGATCATGAAAGCCCGTACTCTAGTGAACCAGACGAACCTGTGATGGATATAATGAATGAATCGTTGCATTTGTTTCATAATAGGCCTCACAATATAGCTCATACATTAGGTAAATCGATCTTGTTATTTTCTGCTGCTTTAGAAAAAAACTTACTTTCAAACTGAAATGCATTGTGTAACAAAACAAACCCTAGACATGATATCTTTCAAGGAATTGGGTCGGGTATGCGTTTGGACTATCCTTTCTTTATCACATACGCCAGTATCACCCCAGTTAATTTGACTAGAAAACATTACAGTGTTTTATCCATTCATTCCATTTATTTCTTTACTAACCTCATAAGTTTGTTTTTTTACGTTTTAGCTTTGTTTTTGAGAAGCGTTTTCCCAACTGCCTTTCGGTAAATGTTGTTCATAGAGTCCGCCAAACTCAGTTTATTTCAAACCAAAACCAGCGGGAGAAATTAGGCCTTTCCTTCTCACGTTGGACCAAATCCATGATCGTTGAGCGATACACACGTCACGATTATGTCGTAACCTATACACACCTGAAATGAATATTTGTCCGAAAGAATCACAATCACATGAAAATATATCATAACTGCACTTACATAAACAGTGTTGTATTAATTATATGTATTATATCTGCGTATTACCTAAATCGCTGGAGTGATTATAGATCGTAGCAAACGATCAAACGAAAAGGCATAAATTCAATCAAAAGACCTTTCCTCATAATAGCTGTTTAAGCCGTGTATACACTCGTATAAATCCCGCATGGCGCACCTGTGCGAGGGCCTACAGCACACTAGGTAATGTTAGAAGATCCGGCTTTGAATCGCACCGCATTAGCTGGCGAGCTTTCTCACAGTCACAGGTAGGGGACAGAGGAATGTTCAATTACCTGGGCTCAATGGCGGGGGCACCGATCCGTGAACGCTGGGAGGGGGAGGAGGTTTCCCACACTCCGCGCGACATCCACGCACGTGCGTGTATTTACTAGTCGTCTGTCTACGTTTGATTGGCATTCCATTACACTACCGCTAGGACAGGCTGTCCATGACGCTCACCGCTTACCTCCCTTGGAATATTTTTTGTTTACTTCTGTACTGGTACTTGAGTGTATTCACAGCTCTGAGTGTATGTGTTCCCTATTCTGTTGGTGATGCTCATTGTTCATGACAAATGTTATCATCAAAATGATGTAAGTTGCGGACTTGTCAAATTATTATTTCATAATTATTTATGAAGCAATGAATAAAATATGAATATGATGTTCAAGGGGAAAATATTTAACTTTACACTAACAAAATGCAAAAAAAAAATATAGAAAGAAAAAACATGTTCACCTTGTGTTCAAATCTTAAGACTTGTAGTGTTGCAAACTGCAACCAAAAGAATATACAATCGAAACATACCATTATATTGCAAGGGAACCTCAGTTCACAAGTTCAGAGCCAGGTGTGCTCAATGGAAGATACTTAACTCACAACCCAACCGTCTGGAATGACTAAGACAGCAATACAAATAGGTAAGAAAACAAAGTTACATTATCATACATACAATCTGATCTATCTCGTGATAGAGTTGAGTTGAGAGACGCATGTGACGTGCAGCTACAGCGGTTGAGAAAATAGGTCGACAGTCAGATGTCGAAATACTTGCAGTGGACTATGCTGTGTGTGATTCTACCCAATCTCGGGATTTGTTAATGTGGAGATCCTCAGGTACAAATTCCATTTCTAATAAAAGGGTAACGTATGATATGCATCTATTACATTTTTAAAACCTATGTTTTAACATAACAAATTTTATTATTTATTGGCATTTGAAACTGAACACAATATTTTGAACTATCGGTTTTAGTAGTTGTTTCTACACGAATCTATATGCACCAAATCGCGTAGTTTGTATAGACAAAGCAATTACATTTACTTACATTTACAATTACATTTACATGCTTACATTTACAATCCTTACAACCAACAAGCTCTGTGAAATCTTCTCGCCGCTAACATCTACAGGGGAAGACGAAGTATTTACGAGAAAATGTTTAAAATATTGAAAAAACTGTAATGCATGAGGTGTATTTGACAATAGAGAGTTTGGAATATATATCATACAATTTATTTCATTTTCTGACACAAACAAACAAACGAAAACAAACATGCATTTCAATTGTTCCATTTACCATAATACATTTATTCATGTTGTACAGATTCGGTTTCAAACAATCAAACCAAATGAGCAACTACTGTTAAACGATTGAATACAATCGATCAAAATGCCCCAGCCACAACTATCAACAGTTGGTCGAGTCACGTGCCTAGCTTATACAGGTTAAACCACTCGTACCTGTCGCAAGCACATCTGTGTGTTGACCAATCAGAGTATTGGAGGCGCATGCCGATACATCCCGCTAAGTCCACAAGCCGCGCGCTGATTGGCTGACGCTACCACCGTCGAGCGTGGGAAAGCGCCTTGGCATACCTTCGCATCTCAAGCCGGCTCGTGTTGGGTTGTATAAAAACCCCGGCGACCGTGGGAGAGTTACACTCACTCGTGTGCTCTAGTGGTTCACAGATTACCTCAGCTAGCAATTTGGCTGCATTCCACTTTTAGCAATGGAGACTTTAACAGAAAACAGAATGCCGGAGCGGGTCTCATCCCACAGAAGGGTGAGTTGTCTTTGGGATTGTTTACTTTTTGTCGACGGGCGAGTTCACATGTCAAATGTCGGCAAGACAAGGTCCACCTAACTTCCGTGATTGCTTATAAATCGATTTAATGTTTCGTCTGGCATGTTTGCATTTTTTTCAAAACATTTTTGTAACTTTTGGATAACGTTAATATCGGTTTGTTAAATTCTATTTTAAAGTCATCGGTGTTCCTAGGAATTCCTATATTCGGAAAGCAGGTGACTGTGTACAAATATTTATGAAGTTTCTTTTTATTTTCGGTAGATAAAACGAAATAAGTATTTGCTTAAATATCACGTTTATATACTCTGAGATTGTTATGCTTTAGCAATCACCCAAAGCCTAAGCTGTGAGAAACTAATGCGCTTTTCAAACCGCCACATTTTGTAAACAAGTCATTTCAATGTTACAACGCTTGTTTTGTGTCGTCTGCTCCACCTTGTCACGTGCTATAACTGAATGTTGTCTATTCCAGGCCAACAAACCGTTGGTTGAGAAGCGGCGCCGTGCTCGTATCAACGACAGCTTATCACAGTTGAAATCGCTGCTCCTCCAAGCTATGAAACAAGATGTAAGTATTGAAATGTACATTTAATGATCATACTTTCGTAAACCTCTTTCCTTTTCATGTGAACAACACAATCTTAATTCGATATTTCCTAAATACTATTTCAGTTATATTATGCATGTTATTTATTAAAGCTTGCTATACAAATGTGTTTAAATAAGCTTTATGACCGTTTTAACATTTGCCTTAATCATTTCAGAGCGCACAATTCTCCCGCCTTGAGAAAGCTGATATCCTGGAAATGACTGTCAAGTACCTGCGCCATATGCAGAGACAGCACGTGTCCACTGACGTGACCTCCGACCCCGGAGTTGCTGCCAAATACCGTGCCGGGTTCAACCAATGTGCAAACGAGGTGCTCAATTACTTCCAGTCTTCTAGCGGTGTCAAAGAAGAGGTGAAGTCATCGCTTGCCGATCATCTTGGGAAATGTCTGTCAATTGTGACCCCAGCTCCCTCATCCATCACAGAACATCAGCAGACGACATTCCATGACTCGAAACAGACGACTTACGCAGCACGTGCTGAGAGCGTATCTCCTGTCAACGGCCAAACCAGATGTTTACAGCCGCTTCAGATTCAGATCCCGGAGTCGGCTGACATGATGACGTCATCCCCAAACAAGCAGACGACACCCACCAGTCTCCTTCTCATGCCGCTCGCTCACTCTACACCTGTTGTTCCAGTTATGCACGTGCAGGATCACGTGATGTCAACATCCCGCGAGAGCAGTCCCGACAGCTTCAGTGTGGCGACGAACTTTAATGACTATAAAAACATCACAAATATCAGAGTGCACCCTTACCACAGCGACGTCGAGTACGTGCAGCAGACGACGCGACATGTCTCCTACCCCGTTCATCCCGTACCGCGCATGTCAACAGGTACCCGGATGTATGAATCTGTGAGCCCTGTTCACCGTTACTCACCACCACAGTGTGCCTTCCAGGAGGAAAAGGTGTGGCGTCCCTGGTAACCATGGAAACGCCAATTTCCGCGGTAACCACAGTTACGTAGAACTTATGACATTCTCAAACTGCCAAGAAATGACTTTTGCAAGTGCCTACTGCGGTTCTTTTGCCGCTCTTGTTATATTTTTGATACATTTATTTTTGTGTTGTGTGTAACACTGTTGTTTAGAAACTTTGATATATATTAGACTCCGGCTTCCCACGAAGCGCGATCATTCCCACACTTCACTACCGCATCTTCTTCTATCTGGAGTGGACCAGGTCTTCATCTTTTCATCTGTCGGTCCACGACTTCATCTCATCACATCTGTAAAACAGATGGAAACTTCTCGCGCTGAACTTTCACCTTTCATAATACACCCATTATATGATATGTGTTGCGATGACGTCACGGTTGATGACGTCACATGTATTGTCTTCCATGCTCACTTTGGTGCTTCTGAAACACGTATGATCGTTAAAAACGGATACTTGTAATGCCATAAACCGTTATATTTTTCTACATGTTTATATATGTATAAATAAATATTTTCTTAAACAAAATCCTTTTGGTCGTTCTTCTTACTCATGTTTATTTTGCTCGTCTCGTTTCATGCTGTTGATCGGGGCGGTGGGGTAGCCTAGTGGTTAAAGCGTTGGCTCGTCACGCCGAAGACCCGGGTTCGATTCCCCACATGGGTATAATGTATGAAGCCCATTTCTGGTCCCCCGCCGTGATATTGCTGGTATATTGCTAAAAAGCGGCGTAAAACCATACTCACTCACCATTCACTCATGCTGTTGATCACGGGATTTTCTGGTCCAGACTCATTCATGTACAGACCGCCGCCATAAAGCTGGACTATTGCAGAGTGCGGCGTAAAACCACACTCACTCCATTTTCCCTCACCTACGATATGTTGGTTGTAGTGTAGCCTAGTCGTTATAACGTCTCTTCAGTCCAGTTAAGCACATTCTGATTGGCTAGGTATTTTATGACATTTGCTACAAGCGGCGTTAATCAAGCCATAGGTAAAATAACATCATCAACTAGAAACACTTTTTGTGATACATCACTGCTGAATGAAACTAATCACAAACACAATTAATTGCCTCAAACATTCCAATAGTACGATAGTTGGTAGATAAACTATCTGTACCCGTCATCTGAAGCAACCTGGATTAGTCTTGGGGCGGTGGGGGTAAGCTAGTAATTAAACGTTCGGTCGTCACTGCCGAAGATTGACTGACTGACTGTGTTTAGTTTTACGCCGCTTTTAGCAATATTCCAGCAATATCACGGCAGGGGACACCAGAAATGGGCTTCACACATTGTGTCCATGCACCGCCGAAGACCACAGGTGTAATGTGTGAAGCCCATTTCTGGTGTGCCCCCGCCGTGATATTGCTGGAATATTGCTAAAAGCGGCGTAAAACCATACTCACTTTCTCAATGGATTAGCCTAATTTCTCATCATGCATATTCAACCTTTGCCAATTTAATCACAGTCTTTCGGGAATTTTACCTCCCAGTACCTTTCTCCCTGCCCTTACTTACTCTGATGCAGTTACGCAAAGTGAACAACGTCTTGACAAACCCACCCCTAAATAGTCTCTCTCTCTCTCTGTCTCTCTCTCTCTCTGAGAGGAGCGCAGACTATTGCTTTCAGAAATAGTAGACTTGGAATATCCAGTGGTGGGCTCCACGGCAAGGAAGACGTAGTACCCTTTCTTTCCAAGGGCCCTTAGGGGTGTAGTGCTAACCATACGTAACCGGCTACAATTAGCGACTGAACAAATAATTTTCCAACAATTGAAGTGATTTTCTCAGGCTCGACTGATTGTCCGGCAATTTGCAGATAATCTTTGATAAGCCCTGCCCTATGGACTTCCTGATAGGAGCGACTCGCAGATAGCAACCATGTTATCTGTTGCACGTCTGCGGAGATACCCCGCCCCGACGGAAGTTACGTAATTACGTGTTATCTGACTGTCATCTCCAGACTAATCCACGTCATACCTCGCGCAGCTCCGAGACCCTCACATATCTGTTTGATATCAGTCTTCATTGCTTCTTGTCTTCTCCCTCCAATAGTTCTTACATCATTTACTGTCCACATTAGCCCACCATAAAATAAAGCCAGAGGGCGAGATTTCGCGAGAAGATACGAGATCGGGGAGGCGGAGAACGTTTTTAAATTCATGCAGTGTCTTTAAAAAATGTCATTTCGCAGTTATCTCATATCAATAAAAACTTTTTACACAAATGAACATACATGGAGTGGAGATAGAGTTATAGTTATTTATGTTACACACTGTTTTCTGGGTTTCAGCTTGATCAGACTGGTTACCTAGGATACAGCACATAACTCTAGTCCATGGTAGGCGTGTGTTCGACTCCCAACACTTGTAGAATTTTCTTGTGAGTCAATGTTGCTGTAATATTGCCAACAGCGGCGTAAAACTTTATCCAATCACACACTCTCCCGTAGGGCAGGTTCAGCGAGACATTGAATGCCAGTGTTGGCAATTAATTATATCTTTACAATTTGTAAATGAAAATTATTTTTGTGTCATGAGATTGTCGCGTAAATGGATTAACACTGATTAAGGTTGGTTTGTTGTTTAACGCCGCATTCAACAATATTCCAGATACATGGCAGCAGTCTGTAAATAATCGAGTCTGGACCAGACAATCCAGTGATTAACAGCATGAGCATCAATCTACGCAACTGGAATACGATGACATGTGGCAACCAAGTCAGACACTGATTAAGGACTCAGACCAGGTGTTATGAACAACTTTGGACTAGACAAACCTCCCTAATCGGTATACCTCGGTATTCCGGCCAGGTGGTTGGTGTTATTTATGTCAATTGCATCTCTTAGGTGTTGGTTTCGATCTGTGATATTCATGTACATTCCTTTTCCGTTGTCACCCGTTGTTTGCGACAGGTCGACATTCGACAAAATTGTTTGTTCAGAATTTCCAGAAACGGTAAGACTGATTTTGTTTAATTATTCAAAATTAAATAATTCCAACTGTTTGAGTTAATGAGGTTACACTGCATGCAGATAATGATTATTCTCGCCACTGTCGCCCTCATACAGAGCCACCATTCTATCAAGGATCCACATCTGTAGTCACAAGGCTGGGCTGCTGTATTGTGCTCACTTACTTTGTTTACTTGTAATTCAATATTTCAGAAAACTTTTATAACGGTTCACTTCAAATATATATCAATAGGTCTGGATAAATGAGAATCAGAGTCGAAATGAAAAACAACTTTACCAACGAATTGATTTCCTTTCTGGATTTCAATATAATTATAATTATTCTCACAATTTAAAAAAATGAAAATTATTTTGACGCGACAACGAAGAAAAGGGTCTACTGATATTTGTGATCATTTCCCATATAGTGTTGATCTCATTCTTCAAGCAACGTGATGGACGCACTGACATATCGCACTTATTTGTTGTCAAAAGTTTCACTTCATCCACTGAGGTGTTTCAACACATTTCAAAATACTGAGTGTCATCGCATCGTGTCAAAAACAATATGGACTGCTTGTGGATCCATCCATCAACTATGATTTTCCGCAATGTCCCCTTCTGATCACAAAAGATGTAACCGAACCAATTTCTTAGCAACCTGACTAAAAACGAGTGTCTACAGCAGGACAATTCCGTTCCGATCTAGTTGTTTAAAAGCGTTATAAACACGGTGTGTACAGTGACTGGTTTGTCTTCGTGAGGTGCTTAGCGAGAACATCCCATTTAGCCCCACGCACGAGTGACCGCACCACGGGGGGACCTCAGTGTCTATTTACAGGGGTGCAGAATACCCTGGGAAAGCGAGTAGTGGGAGGAGAATTCCCACACTGGTGAGGGGTAGCGTTTATCTCCCTGGCACGCGTTCCTACACCGTCACCATACCAGAACATCTTGACTGACGTGACGGACACGCCGGGTTTCCAGAAGGGCGACCCCTCGTTGACTTTTGACCAATGAGATCGCGCTATTGTCGCGGGAGCGGAGTGCACTGTCTCGTGCTTAACGGGCCCACGCGATGCGCCTGCTGTTTTGGATCTCGGACCGTGGGAACTCGTCTTCAACAAGTGTCAAACCAACAGCAGTTGCCTCCCTTGATATGATTTCACTGCAGCACGGTCGTGTGCAGTAGATGAGGGTTCTTCAGGTTTAAATCACTTGTTGAAATGGCTGTTCACATAATGCACGGGGGCAAGCCTCCATTTTTCTAAAACACGAGCCAACATATGTCGACTTGGAGACAACATTCCCTGACGATACTGTGAGTCAGATATCAAGACAATGACGCTTATTTTAAGGGTTAGTATGGTTGAGATTTCGTTTTAAAAAAAAGTGGAATCTATTACGCTCCGTGGGTTCAATAAGCGTTGTCACTGCAGATAAAATGCGCCATTATCATTACTGAATACAATTATGTTATGAGGTTCAGCACTGGATCACAAACACGTGATGTTGTGGGACTTGTCTTTTGAAAAAGGAGGTACTCACATTACCGGTGCCAAGTCAATTAAATAAGTCAATTACAGTTTAAATCAAATTCAAACGTTAGCTGGATTTAATGTCATCGTGATAAACTATGCTATGCTATGGTGTACAAGAAGTGCCCTTGTTTAAAATAAAGTAAATTTATTTTTGTATTCCATAGTTTAAACTAACCGCAATTCCTTTTTGTATTCTCGATATGTTACACAGCCATTATCACAACATATGCAAATAGTTATACGTGTGACCTGTTTCCGCGAAGCAGTAGATCATCTACTGGGTGGGTTTTAAATGATCTTGTTTGTTCTAACTCTGCACTCAGCAATACGGCGGCGGTCAGACAATCCAGTGATCGACAGCATGAGCATCGACCTACGGAGTTGGGTTACGATGACATGTGTCAACCAAGTCAGCGAGCCTGACCACCCGATCCCGCTAGTCGCCTCTTACGACAAGCATGGGTTACTGAAGATCAATTCTCACCCGGATCTTCACGGGTCTTTTGGATAAAAATAGTCTGCTCTGGATTTGATAACTGATAAACTGCTGCGATCTTCACACAGCTACCGATCGTCTTGATATGCAAGTGGTTATAAAATTGTATAAGTGGCTATAGGTGATCACACGCCAAAGACCCGGGCTCGATTACTCACGTGGTTTCAATGTGTGAAGCCCATTTCTGGTGTCCCAACTCCTACAATATTAAATGGAAATAATATTCACTTATATGTAATATTATTATTCTAAGAGCTACTACTTCCAATACTTATTATTATTTTATATTGTTGTAGACATTGTAGAACCGTGTTGCATTTGTATTACATGGTTTCTATTCAGATTCAGTAGATTGCAGTGGTGTTGGTTACTCTATCTTGACTGGGAGACAGCACTGGTGTGGACGTTTCTAGGCCTTCCGGTTTATACTCAGTGTAGTCTGAGCCAAAGAGTTAGAGAAAGTCCAGAAAACTTTTGTTTTAATCTAAAGGCGCGTGCTCTTAACTCAAGCATCTCACATTACATCTCAAATT